TTCAAATATACTGATTAGTAGCTACATACAATTTTTTATTTATTTTTTCACTAATTTACTCCCGATTTTTATTGATAATATACTGTTTTTAAATAGTAGAAGATACATCATACATTAAAATCCAGCTATACTGCAAATAAAGTGAAAATCATTGTAAATCTAAATTTTAAATTAAACATACTTGATTACTAAAATCAATATACCTCACAGGGAATTAAGAATGTGAAATAATAACATGAGCGCTGAATCTGAACAATTTATTCATATCAAAGGTATTCCAAAGTAAATAATTGTCACAATGTGATTCAGTGATTTGCTGTGATGTCAAACAGTTGAGCATAAAAGTACTCAACTGAAAGATATTCTACTTATTGATTTAGAATGTAAATAAACTTTTCACAAAAATCTTGAGTAAAAAAAACAGAGTTGGATTGTCTAAATGACACTAGTTTTCTTGTTATCAGTCCATTAATTAATTTATCAATGATAAAATGTATGATTTACATACTCTTGTTTCGTTTCAGATTTTTATTAAGGTAGCATGATTCAATAATTCAAGATATTAACTTTGTCATTAATTGATCGATTTATTTTTTATTGATAAATCACTTTAAATGAGAATGAAATTCCAAATCAAGAGTTTTGCTAATAAACTCTTCTCTCCAATGTTAAATGTTATACCTAATTTTTGTAATTTAATTTTATCATATTGACATTGATTGAAATATACGTTATTTAGTTTAATGGATGTTTTCATTGTTTCAATAAACAGATTAATTATTAGAATAGTTTTATCTGACAATGAAATAAAATCCACAATAAAAATGTCAACAGCATTCGATGGATTGGCAAATATCTTTTAGGTAGTTTGATACCACATATTAGTAGTCGAAATAGTAATGATTTTTTTAAAATTCACACAGAGAGAATTTTTTCACTAAATGTAAGTGCAAAAATGACAAGTGCACGTTTCGAAATTTAGAAATAAAAATATTTCTGTTCAATAGTGAATTTTGGGTTGTCGTAAGTAAATTTGAAACTTAAAAGGTGTCTTAGTAAAAGAATTACTTAAGATGACTCAAAAATTACTTACTGTTGAACAACTTTTTACATAATATGTGTATACGATTTAGAATGCTAATTTATGAGAGTTGAATGCAACAGCTATTGATGAGAAATGAAAGAAAAATTATAATTAGTATAAATTGTTTTATTTAGAAAACAGTGTTGAAGAAACAAAGATAGATACCGAGTTATAATGTCAAAATATAAATTTCAAAAAAAAATTGTGGAGTAAATCATGTTGAAATTTGACTCAAATACATTTTATACACTATTTCTTATATTAAGATGCTTTTTACTGTGGGTAAACTATGTCGATTGTTAATACATCATTAATTTTCGGTAAAATTGAATAAAGATAACTTAGAAAAATACGATCTTTAAGATTAATTTAAAAAAAAAGGGTCGTCAACTGTGAGTCTATCAATGCCAAACTACTTTAATGGAATTTTTTCCAAAAGTTCTATTATAGGCTGACACTGATAAATAACTTGGCTGTAGTTAATTGATATTAAACGCTACCTAATGTTTCTTATAAATGGTAAAATTGAAAAACTTAATCCATTATGTTAAGATATTGTTTATAAAATAGTGATTACAATATATAAAGTAAACAATTAAGGGTTAAAAATAATAAAAATATGTAGTAGAAGGATGGTTGATAGTTTGAAAAAATTTTGATAATATTAGATACTATTTGTCATCAATTAGTTGTTTGACAAATTCAGTAGAAGTTAATCGTATAATCAGTGTAAATGCTATTAAATTGCATTAGTAAATTACTTTATAAGTTTAGCTTAATCCATATAGTATAGGTAAGTTACATAATTTACCTGAATAAATAGAATTATTATTATGACTAAAATAAAATTAGATAGAGAAAACGTAGAAGAATAATAAATTAAAGGAATGGAAATTATATTTATTTTTGGAAAAATTTATTATAATTTACTGAATTAATATAAGTCAAAAAGAATAGTAAATATGTACGCGTTTTTATTTGAACGAGGTCAGAAAAAATTAAGAAACAAATTTTAAGTTTACTTTAAAAAAATTTTATCTTAATTAAATGAATTAATTAGAAGTGAATGATTATAATATCTAAATATAAAAGATACATTTTACTATACATTATATTTAAGAAAAAACCACTTATTGGAATATATTTTAAGTGCTAATTAATGCTTATTATTATATGTTATCTTTTTATTTGTTTAATAAAAAGATAACATATATGAATATTTTATTGATATTAAATACTTGCAATTGTTATATTAACTTCATGAGTATTAGCAATAAGTAAAATAAATTTGAATAAATTAAACATGAATTTATAGCTGCAAATAATTTATGCATGCCGATAAATCGAAATCTCATACGATCATCAATAAATGTAAATTAAAAGTAATATAATTCTCTGTTTACTATGGTTAAATTTATTTGCCAATGATCAACAAATTTCTTTTAAGTAATTTTAAATGAATTTTATTCAAAATTATCGCAGATTGTTTTATCTATATTGTATCAATGTAGTAATGATTGTTAAGACACATCTATTTCTGTCTTCGAAAAAATAAAAACAAACTGATTATTCATTTCTTGACGATGAATAAAAATTATTGAAAACAGCAGATGTAGTATGAAATTTTCAAATTTATATTTTTACTTATTTTTCAAATGTTAATTTTATTTAAAAATTTCTAAAGATAACTCAAATTAATGAAATTCAAGAGCTGTCAAATTTATATATAACATTGCTCATAGAATTTGGATATGGGTACGAGCAAGACAACTTAATCCTGAGTAAATGTGTTGTAGACTTGGACAAAAATGAAACAGATTTTGTTTTAAAAATAATTCACTCAAATGCCAAATAGACAATCTAGTTGATTTAATTAAGTAAATTTTTTTTTCATTAGATTATTTAGAGATTAAAAGAATAAAATAAATTAGTCATAATAAAACTATAGATCGTGATGGTTAGATTAAGTATAAGAAAGGATGAAAAGAACAATTTAAAAGCAAAGGTTTGTTTGATATGACATGTTTTTATTGTAGCAAAAAAAAAGAATCTAAGAGGACTTTTGTCGTGGGTTTTGCGAGCTTGTCAAGATAATAGATGGGAATTAAAGAACCTTAAAAAAAACAAAAAGAGTCTAAATAAAAGGTAACCATACAAATTTTCTCTAAAATGTAAACCTTTTTTCTGGCATTTTTTAATGAACTAAAGTGGAAATTATTTATGGTAATTTATAGATTGATGAATTTGAAAAGGGAAAAATCAATTTAAATTTAAATTTCCAGATTTTATAAAATGAAAAAAACTAATAGTTATGTTAGCATAAGTAGTAAAGAAGTCATAAGATAGAAATGAAATATTCTCGAGGATTTTCAACTAAGTAATCAAATAAATCTTGCAATCCCTGGTTGTTTGGAATCCCTCAACATATACTACTATCTTGAGCTTATTCCACATCCCTTTTTAGTTCATAAAAATGATTAACTTTGAACTTCGCTCCCTATGTCGATTATACATTCAACACTTCAATTATCTCTAAAGCCCTTTACTGGTGGAATGAGCTTAAGATTGAGCTATTCTACATTAATCCGTACTGTTATTTATGACTGTTAAATAATTTATTCTATTTTATTTTTAACTGTATATAAAATTTTTAAGTTTCATAGAAAAAGATAATTGAATATATATTGAGTGTTTTAAATTTTAGTAATAAAATTATTTGATGATTTATGTCGTATAGCATTATTTGATTTAGACATACAATATTTTAACAAAAAAATTAACGTAAAATATTTAAATAATGTGGAAATATAGAATATAGTCATTCTCGTATCATGTTAATAAAAATAAGCCATATGAATTATTATGTAGAGATATATACAATACATAAAATTAACAATCGTATACCATATGCTAGAAAAAAATTACAGTAAAAGTGTATAAATCAATATATAAAGGAACTTTTCTTAAAAACGATATTTGACGATAAAATTGGTAATCATTTTTAAATAATTACAGAATGAAAAGTACTTTAAATGACTTATTTTTATTCCCTGAATTATTTGATGTTTTGACAATACTATTACTTTAAAGAAAAAAGTTAATGCATTACTTTTTCAAAATTATTTAAATTTGCCGAAAATTTTTAGTCATTAAAATGTTACAGATCATTTAAGTATGGTATTTTATATATCTCGAGTATTCATTTTTTTGTTCTCCTCCATTCATATGCATTGTAATTATTTTTAACCTATTTCTTAGTCAGTTTCACTCTGACACTTTATACTCGTGTAAATAGACCAGCATTACAAGTAAGATTCCTTTTATTAAAAAAAATAACTGTCAATAGAGTACAGATGTTCGATTTGTGGAAGTAAATGGTATTTAAAAATATACCTGTATACAGGAGCATTATATACCGGATGTAATTCCATACAAAATTCAATTAAATCACCAATTTCACTGAATAAATTCATAATTTTTATTAAAAAGTTTCATATTCGTTATTCTTCTGACATAAGATATAATAAATATGTATTCATAGTATCACAACTATAAAATTTTGTTACTATTGATTAGTTCACATAACAAAATTAGATATTAATTAATCGATATAATTGTTATATTTTATAGCTGATGAAGTAAAGAGAATTTTTTAATTTTTTCAAGGGAGTATTATAACTAAATTGATCTTTTAAAACTTATTCAATTTATTTCTCTAATACCTTTTGGCTTATTTTTCATTATTTAATTATATATTTTTCACGTCTGCAGCAGACTTAAAGTCTCATTGTTATAATGGAAATTCTGAGCATTAATTTAATTTCTGTTGAACAAATACTAGATGTCTAAAGGCACTACACAGTTAACAAAAGGAAAGTTTGGAAATTTTTCTTCTAAAAAAAATAAATAAACTTACATGAAAGATAAATTCCAATGATTAAGAAAAATTTCAACACGACCTTTCACTTAAATGTTTGAACAAATTTTCAATCTTCAATTATCCTCGCTAAAATTCACCAGACACTTAAAAAGTGGAAATTGATGTCACTGTCTCTGTAAAGCTGCTGAAGAAGCAATGTATAAATAACATCCACGGGTTGCCGTTAAATTAGACGTCGAGGTTTGCATCTACTGAAGTAAATTCCCTTGCTGTTGGTATTATGTTCGTTTCCGGAAAACTACAAAACTCCCAAACTCTCGTATAATATGTCTCGACTCTCTTAAGGTTCGATCTGAGCTTACAATATTTCTCCTTTAATCCAATGATTCTTCACGTAAATTAAATTGTAGGATTTCAAATGACGCCTTTTTAATTGTGAACATTTTGATCTACAAAAACCAAAGAACCGGTACTTTGGTTTAAATTAAAAGGGTTCTTTTAATTTAAAAACTTTAAAGATTTTCTTCCTCATAATTGCCACAATTTATTCATTTTCACTACACATTGTACATTTTTTTACACAAACATCACTTTTTATTTTATTTTTTTCACAAAATAATTAGTTTATATAATTTTGTTATTTTTATTAAAAGGATAAAAAATTTTTAAAATAACCACGACAACTAAAGAACAGTGAATTGAGTAGTAAAGAAATAGTTATGGTGTCATTACTCGATAAATTACAAAGAACAAAATGATGACACTTGACAGTGGAGATCAGTGTAACTTCAGGGACGATAGCTTGGCGCTCTTGAAGCGCACTGATGAGCTGCTATCCGAGTCATCACGAATAAACCCGACGGTCAGCGTGTCAGGAATGCTTCTGGCAATAATCGTCGCCTGCGCGCTCAGTTTGCTCTACTCCAAGGGAAGACTCTTTTTTTCCTTTTTCTTCATTTTCCTTCAATAAAAAAATACACTATTCTTATACTTGTTAAATTTTCGAGTCTGATGAAAAACTCTACGAAAATTTTATTGAAATCTTCCAGTTTTTAACGTTTTTTTTTGTTTTTTCAATACTTTTTTTGCTTATCGTTGTTTAGAAATAATGTTCCGAATCAAATAGTTTTCTCTCCGAATGTTGTCATTTGAATATAAAAGGTTTATTTTATTGAATTTTAAAAAATAATCACTAATTATTTATTTGAAATTCATTACATTTTTAATTGAATCACTTCAACTTAAATGCTTTGAATGAAAAAAACTTTAATAAAATAGAATCAAAAGCTTCACTATTTACAGAAAATATCAGTAATATATAGTGAAAAATACAGAGTAAATATTTCAATTAGTTTCATCACCATGGCAGTATAATTTTCGACTTTCTGGTATAGTTTAGAAAATGTGGTGTGTACATAATTTTATATTCACAAAAAAAAAAGATAAAATATCGTTAAGAATTTAATGGTCTCTATCACCACGTGAAAATCCCACGTCTTGGCATTGAAATGTTTTGTAGCACAATGGGTGTTTTTATTTTCAAATGATTACTTATACACATGGGTATTTTAGTGACGAAATAACTTGTTTTTCATGTTGACATTTATACACCAAAAGAAGATATTCAATTCTATCGAAAAAGAGTAGTGTAAGTGAATTATTTGTTTAACGCAAAGACTCACGATTTTATAATCGATGACAACTATGTATATTTATGTAAATTTAAATAATAAAATATATTACGAAAAAAATGAAAGATAAAAAACGATGAAACTTAATATTGATTCTTAAGAATATTCTCCTTTGTTTTTTTAATTGATTATTCAATAGTATTAAAAAAAAATGATATCCGCAAGAGTTTTAGTTAACAATTACATTATTATTATTATCTACTGATAAAATAGAATATTCGAATATTCATAATTGCTTCTCTTCTATTGTATAGTAGTACAAAGGGTGAATTGTATAAATATAAATAAGTAAATAGTTTTTGCACGGTATTTATCATTAAAGTTATTAAAAGCAATAATATAATGTTGAATTTTCAAAATAACTGCAAAAAATTTTTTACTGAAATTATGTATAAACAATAAATTTTCTTCAATATAGAACGTATACTTTTTATAAAGCAACCCAATTCCCGAAACCTATTGCCGTAGGATAGAATTTATCAAAAAGTGATATATACGTAAGTATTAATGATAAAAGGAAATAATTTGAATTCTATCGTAAGATTCACTTTCTGCTTCTTTATAGCAAATTCAATTGTTATAAATAAAAAGAGTAGGTTTCTATACATTTTACATGGTCTATAACTTTATTCTAGTAAAAGAAAAAATTACGCATTGGAAGCATTGAAATATGTTACGTAGATCCCTTTTTCAATTGTTTATAACAAATTCAATTGTTATAAAAAATTTATATCAACAAAAAGTATCCTACAACCTTCCCTACAATTTCCTTTACAATGTGCAAAATTTCGTTGCAATCCGATGAACTATTTCGGAGATTACCCCGAATAAACAGACAGACAGACACCAGAAATTTATATAGTGGTATAGATTAAAACAACACATACACTACGGTAATATTATTCTATTCTTCAAAAGTAATTTAAAATCTGTAAAAATTATTAATCTACTTTTGAATTTAACAAAATTGCCAATAATTTTTGAAAACAATATCGTTCACTGATAAAAGATTTTTCTTCGAACAAGTGATTAAATTAAGTTAAAATATAAATGTTTTAATAATTAAAACTCAGAGTTCAAGATAGTAAAATGTAAATCAATACATGCTCTATTGAATTTCCTACGACTGTAAAAAAAAATTCAAATATCGAGTTAGCATTCCTTGTTTTATCTTAAAAAGGAAACTTCTCTCGGTTGTTGAAGAATGTTAAAAAAAGGTAAGAATAATGTTCAACTTTAATACGTGAGTAAAAGAGTTTGAAAATTATCAAAGATTATGGTGTTTATCTTGATCAATAAATCGTGAAGTTATTCGATTTCCTAAATTTACGTAAACTACCAAAACCCTTCTAACTCACTAAGCAGGAAGTGTGGAAGAATGAAAATTTATGATGTACCAATGTGAACTTATCTAAAAAAACAAAAAAACCCATCTAGCATAAAATTTTTTCGATTTCAGTAGCATACCCAATTTGTTAACGGATATTCAAATGAACTCTTTCGCAAAAATAAGAGCATAAAATTGCATGAAAAAGTACAATAAACAGTGTTGTTACAAAAATGAATTCATTCTTATTAGTTATTATAGTTTGATAAGTAAACATTATCGATTTAAATAAAATAATTTCCAATTCCCAATAGTTTACAATTTTCGTAATCCATATTACACAGCAGGATATATGTCATTACATTTTGTTCGATTTTTTTATATTTATTAATTCACCTTGAATTTTTTTTGCCAACTTAAGTCTGAAAATTTTATATATTTTAGTTTTAGCAAGTTTTCTAGTAAGAGAGTTTCGGAATTTATATTTATGTTTTTTGGTAGCATTTGGTGATAATTGAACTATCCATTTTTTATTTACGAGCTGAATTCAATTCAGAATTTTAGCGAATAAAATTTTTTATCACTACTCTAGAACATATATGTCATTAGTAGTATATTACTGATAACTTTGTTGTTACACTACTATATTAATAATTGACACCTATATTACAATTTCTATTCATTCGTTCATCAATTTGACCATTAGCCAATTGGATTTTTTAAAAGTATATGATATTAGAGCAATACCGATTTAATTGGGTTCTTTTAACTTTCCAGAGCTCTCCAGGTAGATGTTTTTGCTCACTCACACTTACTATATCTATGGAACGACTCACAATTTATCAGATACTCTTGCGTACAAAGGACAATTAAGCATTGTCCATTTGTATCATTTGGAACGCAAATAAAAAGATTAACATAAATAAAAATTGCCCTACAATTAGAGGAATCCGGCCACACTGTACAGAAAGGGTCAAATTTAAAAATTTCCTATGCTCACTCTGTTAAAATCTTGCAATTAAATAGAGGTTAATTTCTTGGCTCTAACAGGATTCTTGAAATAACAAAGACCTTCCATTAGAGAGGTTATATTATAAAAATTTTGAAATGTGAATATGAAAAAAGGCAAAGTCAAATGGTTTATTTTAAATATTACGTGAATTACTATAAATTAAAATTTCTTAGTTATAAATAATACAATTTACACCTTGATGTTTTTTGAGATAAATACAATTTTTAAAAGGATCCTCTCACTTCAATTGTCCCTACACTTTACTATCAAGTTTTTGTCCAATAAATGTAAGTTACTGTAACATGTTAATGTATAAATGAGTGATATTTTAACTACCATTATATAGAAAAAATCATTAATATTTTTCTATTTCGATTGTCTCTCGAACTTATTATTAAAAATATTCTAACATACACATTTTTGAATTTTATTTTAATTATTGCAATATTGTTTTCCTATATAAATTTATTTTAACCATTTAAAGTTAATCGGACAGTAAGTAGTGAATATGTTGAACAGTTGATTTTGTGTCATTACATGGACAAAGATAGAAATAGCTACTGTAACTATTACAATTATCTGAACTGAAAAAAGAACTCTCATAACTAAATGTGTGACTTAAAAAAGTTTTAATCAATGTAGATTTGAAGATTTTAGTTGGATTTGATGAATTCATTTAATAACTACTAATTTGTTTCAGAAATGACAGAAATTATTTATTGAGTCAAATTTAATCTCGAGGTTCAGGTTAACTAGACAATAAGTGATGTAAATTGGTGCCTACTCCAAGTGTTATCAGTGACTTCCAACGAGTCTACACGCACGCTAGTCATTGAATTGGACATTTCAATTAGGACTTCTATCACTTGATATAATTAAATCATTCGATGGTCTTGAGCAGCCAATCTCTCGCATCTGCTACTCCCGATGAGTATTAAGTCAGAATTATGATTTATTTGATAATTTTATGTATCTTCTGAGATCGTTTATCAAACAAACCTTCCGAAAGTCCCTAGTTGACTTTTTATTTTTGGAAATACGGAGCGAATCGACCATCATCAGATTGAATTTCGTAAAGAAACGAGTCTATCGACTTCTAATCTACATATTTATGTTAGGGCAGTTTACCATTATTTTATATCGCTGTATTTTTTACTCCAAGCCTAAAGCAAACGTGTAGGGCGTCAGATTAATGTTGATATCAAGCTCAAAACATGATTCATGTCATGTGAAATTTATAAAAATGATAGCAAGTAAATTATATTTGAATTAAATGACGTAATAATATAAAACGAGTCATCTTGAACTCTTTTATATTCGCTCGCAAATCTCAATTGTCTGTGCAGACATTTGCTGTTATAATCTATTGTTTGGAATGTCCATAGCAAACATTTATTTGTACTCTGGAAATTCATGTTATCAGTAATTAAACAATAATTTTACCATATTCAAAATTTCATCTTTTATCTTTCTCATATAATTATATATCCTTTTTGATGTACTTATGCTTAATTCAAATGTAAAAACTAGAATTTACAATATTAAATTTACAGTATTAATTTCAATGAATATACCTTAATTCTTTATTTGACATTATAGTTTGAATAATTATAGTACTATAACAAATAAATTTTATATTCATTATTGCTCAAGTATTACAGTCATAAAATACATCACTAAATGTAAGTGCAAAAATGACAAGTGCACATTTCGAAATTTAGAAGTAAACATATCCTTGTTCAACAATAAATTTTGAGTTGTCGTAAGTAATTTTTT